GAAAATAATCTAGTATACGTGACTGAATAGAATAGATGCTCTTCATCAGGTTTTCTCCTACTGGAAAGGATTAGATTAGAAAAGGCGACTATTCACAAATCAGTATCCTGCTTGGATACGTGTGGGGGTGTTCTCTGTGGAGAAGACGTGGAGAACGCTTTGTTTCATGTGCCATGTGAGATACAGCCATTTCAAAATGTTTCCTAAGCTTATTGTACTTTCCTAGTTCCTTAGTTCAGTCTATCGAGTGATACTTCTTTTAAGGAATAGGGGGTTCTTGACACTCGTTGCTACCATTCCTGTCCATGGATTTTCTTTGTATCCCAGGGTTAAGGGTGGCTGTATCTTCTTCCTCATTGCATAATCTACAAATGAATGAACACATCACTGAATATGCCTATGTTGGGTAGATACATTCTCAGTGCCAGTGTCCGGTAATAGTCCTATCTGAGTTTAGTTGAGTACTAATTGTAGCAGTCTTAGTGAGGGTTGTGTTAGCATAAGTTTACTGTGTCTAGCGCCCCTAGTGTTTATCCACGTCTTTTTAGATCGTCTTGTTGATCAATTATGTGATGAAGGATTCTGTGTTTATTTTTGTTATAAAAAAAAAATAGTTTCATGGCCTATATTTGTACTCGAAAATTCTCTGTCCATTATGTCTGTTATCCAAAATTCCTTTCTATCCTTGTACCCTATATTATCAAGTTTGTTGTGTTTCCCAAGGTTTTGGAGATTTTAGATGCATTCACGGTTTAATTTTACAGGCTAATGTTTAAACAGCTACTTGGCTATTCGATCTTATGAGGATATTTTTGTTAACTTTTAAGATTTTCGGAGGCACAAGGATTGATGTCATGTATTCCTGCTTGAAACTGTACTTCGCTCTTGTTGAAGAATGATTCTGTTTCACATAATGAAATCCGATTGCTTACTTAATCTATGCCTAGGAAATTTCAGGCACTCCGCGAGGCCAGAAGAGTTAATACGCGTTATTCAGAGTAAAAGTAGGTAATAAATTGCCAGTTAAATTCTAATCTATCACTAAATGGTTTTCCGTTCTTTTGGAGAATTTTCTTTCAAACCATCATAATTCTATAATTTGTATTAAAAATCATTAATTTCTGATCTCATTTAATTGGGTTTACATTAAAATAAGCATGTTATAATAAATGCAAAATTAAAAATACATACAGTTTGTAATAAACCTCAAAATACTAGTGTACGGTTTTTTTTTCTATGAGTGTACTATATTTTATGCACTACCATGCATAAAAAAAAGAAAAGGAAAATCCTCGCTAAACTATTGTTACAAATTGGAAAAGGAATACAACACCAGATATTGTGGAGGATGTGGTACGCATTACTTTAAACCAATAGTCACAATTTGATTATGCTTAATATAGTTCTTTCATGGTATTGATGTTAATTGGCTTACATTGACTATGTAATTGTGTGAGATAAAACGTTCAACGAGTAACAGACGATCACGCGAATTATTTCATGTAGGGGTATCGTGGCGATTCAAATTGAAAGAAGTTAAGGCTCGTGTTATTTTTGTGCAGGATTAATTCTTATAAGTAAATATACAGGATAAATTTGACTATCCTTATCCACTTTTCCCCCAATGGTGAAAGTGGCAACACAGAATCTGTGGAATATTCAGCAGAGGATGTTTGTACTTAGTTAACGCCAATGGCAAAAGATAGGGCCAGCGGCATCGATCAGGAGGGTTTTCCCTCATATCTTTCCACGATATTTTCCGTTGAAAATAAAATCTGTTTAACTCGCCGTCTTATTAATTAAAACAATTCCCGTTTTAAATTGCGTGTTTATAGAATGAAATTTTGCCGGGAAATTTTTTTTCGTCAATAAGTACGTCCAGCAGCCGCACTACAAGCATATCTTGGTACGGTGCGCAAACTAATACAAATTCTATAAAATATGTTGACAATTTAATTAATATCTTTACAAAAACTATTGTTATTTAAGTAAGTATTGTTATTTAGTTATCCCAAAGTTCACGATATTTTACGATTATTAGTAATTAAAAAGAAGTTTAGTAAAAATAAGAAGATTTCAGCCTTTCTTAATTAGTCACAATTATTAAGAAAAGTAAACAATCGCAACAAGTTTATATGTCAAAAGGAAATAAAGTATAGTTTGAGAACATATTCGATTGTTTTAGTGTGTTATTTCAATCTAGTGACCATTAAAAGAAAAAAAACACAATTTTCTTTTTTTTGAAATTTCTAAAACAAATATAATAACAATAAGTTTTGACATAGATACACATCAATGTGGTCTTCAATTTGAAGATCAATTCTTGAGATCGCCTCCTGATCACGGGCTTGCCCACATATTTCAGGATAAACATTTCAAACCATAAAATAATTCAATTCTATTCACAATTTTTTTGGGGACGATCTTCTGGCTTATTTCTGACGATAGAACTATGCAAGTCATCAAAACACGGCTAAAATGAGAAAACAATATCAACCTTTTTTTTCAAGTATTTATGTACACATTCGTAAAAATAATTAAATTTGTTCGATGTAATACATTTTAGTAGAGCATGTGTTAAACAGACTATGGTTTCAAGCAGTACTACTTTAAAGATCCCCCTTTTTTTTTAATTTACATACCTTTATATAAATAAAATATTCTTATAGCAAAGCCAAAAGATACGATGACAATCTTAAATATCAGTCATTATGATATAGTTAAGTATTGAACTAATGATTTTTTCTTCAATTACAAGATTCAGGTTAGTAAGCTGAGAGTGTGAAACAAAAAGCAGGTAAGATGATAAGTCTTTCTTTTGTTTTTCCTTGATATTTTTAGCCCAGATGTATCATTAACTTTTTAGAAAGTGAAAATATTAATTATTTAAATTGATACTATTAATTTTGTGATTAAGATTACATCCACGCATCTTATCATATCGATAAGTTGATAATGAAAAATTACTTTAAGTCGGCTGGAAAGTTATCAAATCGTAGCAATATTTTTTGTTTTGATTTATACTTAATTGCTAAACAATAGCTAGGCCAACATTGAAACAAAGCGTCAACCACAACGATGATCTACAGTGATGCCAGCAATTAAAGGCGTTACTATAGGACTAGAAGGTCGTAAAAGCATCGGTTTTGGTTAAAATAAAATTTACGCAAAATACTTATCCGGGATCGTCGAAAGAATTTTCAATTATCAAAAAGTATTTATTGAAAAGATAGTCATTGAATTGTCTCCCTTTGAAAATCGAATTTTTTAAAATTTATTTATTTTAATCTGTTACGGTCTCGGACATACAGAAGGGGTTTGGCCTTCATTACATACAATAATACACAATAGTAATAATAATATACATTTGTAAAGAAAATAAAACAAAATGCAGTAGTAAAATTGGAAATAAATAACATTTATAGATATCATAAAGAAAATAAAACAATATCAACCTATTTTTTCAAATATACATTTACAAATTCTTTGTTTCCCTTTTAAAATCGTATATTTATTTAATTATTTAATCATTTATTTCAATGTGTTACAGTATCAGACATATAGATAAGGGTTGGCCTTCATTACATAAAATAATACACGATAGTAATAGTAATAATAATAATATACATTTGTAAATAAAATAAAACAAATTTATCCTGGCATCATAACTATAAATTTTTCTTAATATTACTTAATATTGTATGTTGCCATGATAAGTTTGTTTTATTTTCTTTACATCTATAAATGTAGACTATTATTATTATTATTAATGGTCTGCTATACTGCATACAGTATAGTAATAATAATCATAATAATAGTCTACATTTATAGATGTTGTAAAGAAAATAAAACAAACTTATCATGGCAACATACAATATTAAGTAATATTAAGAAACATTTATAGTTATGATAAAGAAAATAAAACGATTTAATCATAACAAGCTAATACAATTAAAAATCGTATATAAGAAAATATTATGGAGTATCAAAGTTGAAAGAAGAATTATATTGCTATATGTACATGCCGATTGTTGCTATGCTTTGTAAAATTGATTTTGTGAAAGTAACTTCAATTTTGGATTATTTTTTAAAAGTGAGGCCGTCTTGTTTCCAGGGATGGCCATTTATACTTAATATTGTTAAACAATAACTAGAATAACACAGAAAGAAAGCGTCAACCACAACAACGATAATATACAGAGATGTAGCAACTAAAGGCGTTACGATAGGACTAAAAGGTGTTAAAAGCATCGGTTTTGGTTAAAAGACAATTTATGCTAAATACTTATCCTGAATCGTTGAAAGCATTTTCAATTATCATAAAAAAATATTGAATGATACTCATTGCATTGTTTGTCTCTCTTTGAAAATCGTATATAAGAAAATATTATGGAGTTAAATCTATGCTTTGTAAAAATGGGTCGCCCGGGGCGGTCGGGGGTTGAGTTCGCGGAGGGGTGCGTGTGGGCGGATAGCCGTGACTGTGATGCAGGCTTCACCGGCTAGCAACAGGAGGAAAGGAAGTCTGTGGAGTCCGTTGCCGTCCGATGAAACGGAAGGCAGATTGGAACGGAAAGAAATATTATTTTAATAAAAGGCGATGGACAGAGGCGACACGGGGATTAATGTCACTGCGGCGGCTTCATAACTCACCGAGACAACAATTTAGTCGTAACAATTTGGAGCAAGATATACGAGCGGCTACAGTCCTCGGCCTTATCTCTCGCACGGGCAGATTTATATAGAAAAGGTGTATAATTATATTAACATTTATATGTTGGGGGTTATTATGTAAATATAGTCTATTATGGCTGAGATAGGAAAGGGTGGGGCTTTATGATAAATCTGAGAGAAAAATGCGTAGTCACACGGTGGTGGGGGCTAATGATATTTCTACTGCTTTTATTCGGATCTGTGTTATTGGGTGTGGGCGTGTCACGGAGTCGGAGAAGGGGCTCGGGGATAGGCGTAGACGCCCAATCCGGGTGGAAATGCGCGCACAGCCCCACCACGCCTCCGTAGCGCTCCCAGCTCCGTGTTTATTACACATCCGTGGGTTGTCGAGAGAGGAGCTGCTAACGTGATTGTGTTGTGATCTGTGATGCACTAATGGAGAATATAGAGACGGGGTCTAACAGCGACCGCAGCAGTAACATGTCCGGCTCACCGATTCCGAAAGGGTCCCCGCCGGCGGGGGCGGCCGTCAAGCAAGAATCGCCGCACGTCCACCATTCGCCGCCTCCGGTTTCGACGCCGAGCTCGATCGCCGCGTCCCTCAACCCGCGTCACTTGGCAGCGGGGAAACAGGAATCGCCGCACGTCCACCACCTCTCGCTGCCGCCTCCGGGCCTCGGGCTGCTTGGCATGGTGCCGCATTCGCCGTTGGACCTGATGGCCGTCGCCCATCATCATCCGCCCCCGAGGTCCTACTCGAGCCCGCCTCCCATCTCGACCTCCGACCCGACCGCCAACGAGTGCAAGCTGGTGGATTACCGAGGCCAGAAGGTGGCCGCCTTCATCATCGCAGGCGACACCATGCTCTGCCTCCCTCAGGCCTTCGAACTCTTTCTGAAGCATCTGGTCGGCGGCCTCCACACCGTCTACACCAAGCTGAAGCGGCTCGACATCGTCCCTCTCGTCTGCAACGTGGAACAAGTGCGGATTTTAAGGGGTCTCGGGGCCATCCAACCGGGTGTCAACCGCTGCAAGCTCCTCTCCTGCAAAGACTTCGACATCCTCTACAGGGACTGCACCACTGCAAGGTACATTCCAAGTCCTTTTTATTTTTATTTTTTTATACCGTTCAAATCTTTCCCCCGTCACATTCACACACGACAACAAAACAGTATCTTTGTTTTTTTTTGTTACATCTACTTTTCTCTTTTTCTTCTCCTTTTTATAGTTGATAAGAATTTAAACCATTCTTGAACTTGTTCTTTATTGTCGGTCAGAAATCACTCAGAGCGACCTCGCTCCGATACCGGTTGAAGTCACCCGGCTCTCCAAGCTCTTATCTCTAACTGTCCAAAACGAGAAACCCACAACGCCCGTAAACACGCAAATCCCTAGTTCGACACGCTTATAAAAATCATTCCTTCCGATTGGGCAAGGCGACTAAGGAGAACCGGTTCTCAGGACATTAGCATCATTTTCAGATCATTTCCATGCAAACCACTTCAAAGACGCCAAAGTAAACCCGGTATGATGTGTAGGCCGAGTTCTGTCTATTTGATCAAGCAAAACCTTTCTACACATCATTATATGTATAATTTATTGTAAAAATATAACATTTTTCTATCAAAACAATCAGTAATGATGAGATGGTTCCTCAAAAGTATATCTATCCACGATAAAAACAGTTACACCACATTCCTTTCACACATCTTGTAGGTTCTAAAAGTCAGTACGACAACAACAACATTCCAAAAGACAACATGTAGGATTTGTAAGAAAAACTCTTTTTCCTAAGCAACCAGAAAAATCGAACTTGAAATAACTTCGATAAAGGCTAAAACCAAAATATGATCTCTCCATAAATCTTACGAAGCTTAAAGAACAAACACGCTCCATTTTAACTCATTTGCATGACACTCTTCTTGAAAATTATATAAATAAACCAAACTTTATTCCATATTTATATACAGAAATGCATATGCATAAACACTATTGTACCAGTAACATGATAACGCATAAATAAAACCCAACCATTCCAAAAGTTTAGAAATATGTTATTCAAGTTTTCTTGATTTCTTGCGTCCAATAAGACAAAAAGCGATATTTAAAATGGTGGAAAATGAATTTTCAGCTTTGCACATGCGCAATTTTTCACAGACGCCAAAACAAACTCTGCAACACCCCCAAAGATTACAAAACGGTTTCTTCAGGACGAAATCTTTTGATATTACTGCTATGAGCTGACCATAGTTTCGTTATGTTTCATTGCAATAATGGCTTACATACATGAAAAACATACTATTGTCGCTGAATACATGTTATTGGCATTTAATTATGTGGAAGAACAATTCATATCTTTTGAGTAATAATTAAACTTATTACAGTTCGAAACATTGACATACTTATTGGATAATAATTTTAAATTTATTTCCTTATTATTTATATTTATATAAAAACAAAAATAACTGCATTTCCTATCGAGCTATTTGTTGTTTATACCCTGAAAAACTACTGTTAACTTTTTTAACTTTCGTTTCCTCGAACACAGTTAAGAATACAATTTTTATAAATATAGTAAAAATGGGTTTGATTTCTAAGCTCGCCCTTACCCGAGATTGAAAGTTACGTTTGTAAAGAAATTTAAAGAAAGCATCTTAGCCATATTCCGCTAGGCTGAACAATTTGATGCTCAAATTTTCGTGGGGTTGGACCAGGATTAAACTGGTTACTTTTGGTCAAGTACGTCCAATAAGGGTTGTTCAATATTTTACGCTCTTTTGATTTTTTTTAACCTGCGGGTTACTTCTAACTTCTTTCTAGGAGCTACCAACACGATGTTTTATGACATAAATGTTCGTTACTTTATTTCGATTGTTTATAAATTTATAATAGTCTCTCACCAAAGTAGAACACGTTGCCGATTAGCAAGCATTGCTGAAATCATTAAAAGGTGCTGTGTATGCTGGTATGACAAATAAACTGCTATAAATCTATTTAGAGGAGATAAACTAATGTGAAAAAATATTTTTGAACGAGACAACATAATGTTATGCTGCTTTGTAGAACCTGCAAGTTGATTTTTCATTATTATTATGCATATTTTTTTTTTCGTTTCGACAAAATATCAGGTATATTCTTCTTAGTTTTTAACTTTTTAAATTTTGAAATGATCCAGGTTTAGTATTGTTTCAAAGATAGAGACTAGGTTTCGTGTTTATTCTAAACTATTTCGTAATTGGCCCGATTCCGCTAAGAATCTCGTTTCGTTTTTCAGGGCAACAGTTCAAATTGTCCATCTCATCTTTTATAAACGTTTTAAAAAACACATTCCGTTTTTATATCAACGTTGATATAAAAACAAACAAAGTAATATTTGTAGTTAAAAAATAATTCCACCTATTTTATTTTAAATCTATATGAAAGATGCCCAATTCAAGACCAATTTGATTAAATTTGAGGATTATGGTATTTTAATAAATTAACTCGAAGAAATCTGCTTCTGTAAAGACATTTTCACTCTATGTGAGATAATTTGACCCGTATTAACAAAATTTATTTAGTTTGGTCTTATTTAATAAGCACCATTGATTTTCTTAAATAAGTACCCATCAAAGTTCAGAAAATTGCAGAAGCAAAAAGGCAACATATCATTATTGATAAGTTTAAAGGTTCATCATTCAATTAATCAAGGAGTGTTGATTAATAAAGTTCGTAATAACCAAAATCGATATAATTACACAATTATTAAATAATTTAAGAATTGTAGCAGTATTCAGTGTTCAAATTAAGAAAAAGTAAAGAAACGTAACTGGATGTTGAAGCAAAACTGAGATGGCCTATCCTAATCTTGGGCCTTACAATTTTATATAGCATATTGACACAAAATAGTTAAAAAATTAACCTCTGATGGTTTTGTTTAACTTTAAGTAAAGGTTAAATATTTTCCTGCTAATTTCACTTCCCCAAAAGACAAAGATTGTAGGCATATTATTTCTTTTTTCAAAATGGAATAGATGAATAATCATCAAACCCAATATTGATTTGGTCTGTTTTATTCAAATTGTGTCGGCCATTTGTAAATATTTCGATTGTTTTAAAATTAAGATGTATAGTTTTTTTAAGTTAAATTTTATTGAACTTGTTCATAGTACATACAAAGTATACCAAACCACCATCTTGATTATTATGCAATTAATTTTGCTATACGGGGTTATTTGTTACAGTTTTAAATATATTTTATTTATCATTTATTTATATTTTGACTGGTGTATATTTGATTTGTATAGCAATTTTTGTACTTGTTCATCGTCCAACTGATAGAAAAAGAATTGTTGTGATGTCTTTGTTGTTTCGACCTATTGTATAGTATAATATTTTTAAAAACATTTATTGGTTATTTATTTATTATGGCAAAGTCTGGCAATTAAAATGGACTTATAGTCTAACTATGTAGTTTTACGGTGAAAGCCCACCAGGTAATTAATTACTTAACAACTTTAAGACCCCACCGAGGCGGTAAAGTAACGGTCTGCTGTTCATTCTGTCATCTTTATTTGTTATTTATTCATTTGTAATTCAATTAGCGCTCTGCCGGCCTTGTGAGACTTCACGTAAAATATAGAACTAAAAGTGCTCAATTGTCAAAAATTTAAACGGTCTTACCATTGGAAAATATCTTATTGATTTTCACGCAGCTGTTTTAAGGAGAACAGCTGACCTACGGGCCTATCTCGGCTCACGATCTGATTCCTTAATAGCGAGGCAGGGAAAAGTGTATTGTTTCCTAATTGCTATGTGTATACACAACGTAGCAATGCGTGTTTCGTATGCGAGGCGAGACATAAAACGTCCTCGCGCAGGAATTAAATTACACAAAAATACCAAAACAGTTCGTATTTCTTATCACGATGATACAAAAACACCGCTTCGCTTCATGACTGATTATGCTAAATTCATCACGATCGGAACAGCCTCTGTTTAAAATATAATTTTGACCTATTGCATAACAATGAAGTGCACTTTCTTTTAGCGATAAATATCAAAACGTTTATTATTCGCAAATTAAATATTAACAAATTACAACAGCAACTCTAATAGGCAAATCTTTTCTGATCATCATCATCCAGTTTATTATAGTCATATTTTTATTTAAAGTAAAATATTTCTTGGTCTTTAACATCATCTAAACTTTCGTTTCGTGATATTATTTACTTATACGTATTGTAATTGCTTTCTCACGTGTTTTCCTTTTACCACTCATCTTATTGTTTATGAAAAAATTATTTTTAAATGACGCAGTTTTTCTCAGACTAAGTTAATGTTTTACTACCGACAAAGAAGAAGGATGTTGTAAATGCAAATAAAGCATTCACAATATAACTTGTTAAATTAATAAGCAACAGTAGAAAAAATATCCATTGGGAGAAGTCGAAGAGTGCTAAAGTATTGTCTGTTTAATGAATACTTGTGTCATTATCACTTTATCTAACATCACTATAAATTTCTTGGAAATTTCGCGGCCATTGTCTGTTCAGTCGGCGAGGCCGGTTCGAGGGATTCGTTGGAATGCGAGGTCTTCGATGTGCTGATTTACGGTTTTGTGAAATTTTCAGTAACGTGAACGGATTTCTTGAACGAAAGGAATATCTAATATGGCGTAAGGTTAGATACATAAAATAGTCCATCAAGGACCTTTCGTAGGATTAAGGATTGGGCGGTTGAATGCGGAGGGTGTTGAAATGTTTGGCTGAACCTTCCAGTCCGTCCATATCGGCGTAACTATGGTGTTTTAAAACAGCCTTTTATTTTTGGGAAGTAAATCAGGACGTTATCAAGAAGTCTATCGTGTCATAACTTCTTGACGCCGAGAAAAAAGTCTTGACGTCATTTGCCGATGTCCGCATTATCCGCAAGTTAGCCATTTTTTCGTTCACAAACCAGGTGGTCGGTTTTTGTTTGATGGGCAGTGTAGTTTTATTCAGTCGAGAAATTGTTAATTGTTTACTAGACTCTAAATTATAGTATTATAAACGTTTTCATTTCTATGTTCACGGTTATCATTTTATTGATTGAATTACTCTAGACGACC